TGATTTATTCCGAGTGCGATTATTTTTGAAAAAACCGAGCGAGTACTCGAGTATTCGGTATAATTGTTTCAGCCCTAGTGAAAAGTGACCACAAAACTGTGAGGTTTCGGAGTACAGTAAAACCTGGTTTAAGCGACCACCTCACGGTGCAAGCAAAAGCGGTCGTTAAAGCCAGGTGGTCTTTAGAACCAGGTCCCACAGTGTCTGTGTAGGACTGTCGATGCATGGAAAAACAGTCGTTAAGAGCAGGTGGTCGCTAAACACGGAGGTTGCTTACACCAGGTTTTACTGTACGATTTTTCGTGTCAAAATCCATAGAGGCACTACGGGTTTTATACGTCGTTTTAGATCAGTGAAATGTTCCGGAGTACGGAACTTATGTGTGTGCCGTCATTGCCTAGGTTACGATCGCAAACACGTCATATTCCCACGTTATGCCTTTTTATTTTGAAAATTTGTACCAAAATCAGAACTTCCCGCGGAAAATCGATGTTTCTCGTACCAAATTTGTACGCAAAAAATCTTTTTGCACTCGAGGACGCAAAATCTCCATTCGAAACATTGTTGATATGAAAGCCAGTTCACATTCTCCGTGCCCAAAAATCGTATGAAGCACGCTGCGAAAAAATCTGTTGCGCACATACGGATTTTGGCACGGAAAATAATACCACGGAACCTCTCTAATAGCTGAAACTGTAACTTAATTAACAGGGGTGGTGACTTGTCGGAACGGTGGACACAAAATAGGAACGGGCCGAAATTCACTTTCTGTCCTGGTTTTTGATGCGAAAACTTTTTGTGCGTGTGTATGTGTGTGCGTGCATGCGTGTGTACGTGTGTACACTTGTACATGTATGCATGCGGGATGCGAATGCTCCTATTTATTTCAGGCTTCTACATCAAGCTCTTTATATTTTTGTTTGTGCTGCTCATCATCACTGCGATCATTCTCCTGCTCAAGCACTTCGCTTTTGCACGTGAATTCTTCTACTCGTATATCTTGTAAGTCACACAGCGTTCCAGTGTATGCTAAGATCAGTTACTGTAGCTGCTGACCATAACAGTGACATGTTGGCACATGATCCCGCAATCTTGCACATAGGACCAAGACCATATTCGTACATTCGAATCACCGGTATAAGACCACCTCCGGTCAGAGGATCATGGTCGTGTAAGTGAATGAAAATCAGATCCGGATGTTGAGCCAATATTAATTATTTAGAGAGAAAAGGACCTACATGTATAAGTTCCAATACATCGAGCTACGTCCCTGGGCAACAAAGAATGTCGAATGTCTTTATGTATTTTAACATACCTTTGAGCCTCCCAAGTTGGGTGGTCTGTTGTTGCCTTACGTTTTCGGGTTGTAGTTAGGCTGCAACCACACTAGGTACAAAACTGCGTAAACGCAACTTTTCTGCTTATGTCGTCAAGGAAACGCGTGCGAAACGCAAAGCGTACTGCGTTTCGTTTCAGCAAAACGGGTACCCTGTAGAAAGCAACGTTTCGCCTTTTCCTTGCGTTTCGCTCGGTTCTTCATACGGGTACATGTACTCAGGAGATATTTCTTGTGGAGGCATGCACTGTGTCGGTAGTACGCATGCACTGTGTCGGTAGTACGCATGCACTGTGTCGGTAGTACGCGGCTTCCTTGTCAGTTTGTAGTATTTGAGATTTCATCTACCAGGGCTTTGCTTTCAGTATAATTTCCGGACAGTCCTGTTGCCTGCTGTTCTTAGTTCGAGATGCCGCGCAACTACATTGTATTTCGCCGATAATCTCGAACTGAGAAGCTCATGCAGCTTGGGGCAGCGTACCAGAAGACGAAGCAGGGCCAGATGACAGAGCGGACCATCCGAGAGAAGGAGATGACCGAGGCCTTGAACGTGTATGTCAAGGCGCTCGCGACTCTTTTTCAAACTACTACGTGTACTACATACATTTTCACAGCGCGATTTTTTCCGGGACCCAGAAATGTAGACAAAGCGCAAGGATTCCTTGCGCATGAAATGCCAGTGTGGATGCGACTTTGTGTTATCTAAAAGCTGAACGCAAATGCGTACTTGATTTTGTACGTAGTGTGGTTGCAGCCTAAGACCGGTTTTTCCAATGGTCTTACTAGTCTCGTCACCATCATCCTGTTCCCAAATGCCACAGACTTGCACGTCCACAATGAGCGACAGGATAGTTCACAGTACAATCATAAATTTTAGTAAATAAAAGGAACGAACATTAGACTGAAGAACAGAAGAATCAAAAGAACACTTCTTCCTCCCAGATTCTCCTAACGCAACTCCCCTCACCATGCACGAGTTGCCCTAAAATACCTCTGCTGTAGCCTTGGACATAATGGCGTACACGACGCGCCCAAACTGGCGCTGCATGTGAGGCGCGCCAGAACTGGCGCTGCACGTGACAGCACAGCCTTGCGCGGTACAGCCTCTGGTAAAACAACATGCATGCAACACATGTAATGAATACAAGGTGTGTGATGACCTAT